TCATTCATTCACAACAATATTTGAATGAGATAACTACAAGTCCCATCTGTCACCACGGCAAACAACTTGTAGTTCCCAATTAACTGCAAGGGCGTTGATGAGCTCTCCAGTATTTAATTCACAAGCCCTAAAGCTTGAAAACTGACAGCTCCTAGAGAGGTACGGGCTGAAAGCTGAAGGGTTTGTCTGCAGAAGCCTGACATTGTACCCATGATCTTTTTTATTTTAACACATTTCTGCCTTTAGTATCATGTCCATCTTATTCTGATAGTGCCTCTAGCACAGGTTGACAAATCTGCTGTCTCCATTGCTCCTCCATACAGTGGAGACATCCTAAGAAAGGAAGTGTATTGTTGGCTGGATCAAACCACATGGAAGAGAAATATATTTCAAATATATTTAGAAAAAAAAATTATATATGTTACATATATTTACAATATATTGGCATACGCTAATACGTGTTAACATGTATTCTAAAAATGTAAATTTAAATATATTTTCTAAAGGCATATATTTAAAAAAAATATTTTTTTTTAAATATACTCTTCGGATTTTTTTTTAAATATACAAAAGTCATTTTTAACATATATTTTTACATATATTTGTAAATGCATTCCAAAAAATGTAGATTAAATGTATTTTCAAAGACATATTTAAAGATGAATTTTTAAAAAAATATTTTTCATATATTATTTAATATATAAAAAATGCATTTCAACATACAGTATACGGTTCACGAACGCTTCTGTTCACAAACAACTCGGTTTCGCGAACAGAACAGTTCGCAAAAATTTGCTTCGGTTTCACGAACTCCGCATCGGTTGACGAACACGAGCCACGGCCATCTTCCCTGCTCTGACATGTGGTCATGACTTCCTGTAGGCGAGATTGCGGTCACAGACAGACTGAAAGTGTACTGTGAAGACACTTACAGTACTGAGAAGATTTTTGGTGTGCTTTTTAGCACATACTATACAGTACCGTACTGTACATGCCTGTGCACACATGCTGTAAACCTTTTTTGTGTGTTTTTTTTTAGAACATACTGTACTGGACATCCAGTTTGGCTCCAAAGAAAATTCAGAGCAAGCATGGTGGTAAGAAAAAAGTGTGGAGTGGTAATGAAGGTGACAAGAATGTGCAGAGCAAGCATGTTGTTGAAAAGAAAGTGCAGAGTGGTAATGGAGGTGACCAGAACGTGCAAAGCGGTAATGAAGGTAACAAGAATGTGCAGAGCGGTAATGAAGGTGACCTGAACATGCAGAGCGGTAATGAAGGTGACCAGAACGTGCAGAGCAGTAATGAAGGTGAAAAGAACGTGCAGAGTGGTAATAATGAAGGTGACAAGAATGTGCAGAGCGGCAATGAAGGTGACCAGAATGTGCAGAGCTGTAATGAAGGTGACCAGAATGTGCAGAGCTGTAATGAAGGTGACCAGAATGTTCAGAGCTGTAATGAAGGTGACCAGAACATGCAGAGCTGTAATGAAGGTGACCAGAACATGCAGAGCTGTAATGAAGGTGACAAGAATGTGCAAAGTGGTAATGAAGGTGACCAGAACATGCAGAGCAGTAATGAAGGTGACAAGAATGTGCAGAGCGGCAATGAAGGTGACCACAATGTGCAGAGCTGTAATGAAGGTGACAAGAATGTGCAGAGCGGTAATGAAGGTGACAAGAACGTGCAGAGCTGTAATGAACGTGACAAGAACATGCAGAGCGGTAATGAAGGTGACAAGAATGTGCAGAGTAGTAATGAAGGTGACAAGAACATGCAGAGCGGTAATGAAGGTGACAAGAACATGCAGAACAGTAATGAAGGTGACAAGAACGTGCAGAGTGGTAATGAAAGTGACAAGAACGTGCAGAGCTGTAATGAAGGTGACAAAAACATGCAGAGCGGTAATGAAGGTGACAAGAATGTGCAGAGCAGTAATGAAGGTGACAAGAACATGCAGAGCTGTAATGAAGGTGACAAGAACATGCAGAAAGGTAATGAAGGTGACAAGAACGTGCAGAGTGGTAATGAAGGTGACAAGAACGTGCAGAGCTGTAATGAAGGTGACAAAAACATGCAGAGTGGTAATGAAGGTGGCAAGAACGCTCAGAGCTGTAATGAAGGTGACTAGAAGGTGCAGAGCAGTAATGAAGGTGACAAGAAGATGCAGAGCGATAATGAAGGTGACAAGAATATGCAAAGCGGTAATGAAGGTGACAAAAACATGCAAAGCGGTAATGAAAGTGACCAAAACATGCAGAGTGGTAATGAGGTGACAAGAATGTGCAGAGCAAGCATGTTGTTAAAAAGAAAGTGCAGAGTGGTAATGAAGGTGACCAGAACATGCAGAGTGGTAATGAAGGTGACAAGTATGTGCAGAGCGGTAATGAAGGTGACAAGAATGTGCAGAGCAAGCATGGTGGTAAAAAGAAAGTACAGAGCAAGAATGGTAAGAATAAGGTTGTGAAGAAAATAACCATTGAGTTGAAGATGGAAATTGTAGAAAAACATGAACGTGGTATTCGTGTGACTGATCTGGCGTCGAAGTACAAGATGGCGAAGTTGACAATCTCGACTATTTTGAAGAAGAATGCTGCCATCAAAGAAGCTGATGTGGCAAAAGGAGCCACAAAATGAAACAGAGCTCTTCTGGAAAAAGATGCCAAACAGAACCTATATCATGCAGGAGGAAAAGGCACTGCCTGTGCACAAGCCCATGAAGGACAGATTGACCCTTTTGCTGTGTGCAAGCGCCGATTTGAAGATAAGCTACTACTGGTGTACCATTCCCAGACCCCTCGTGCATTCAGGGAACAGAATGTGAACAAGGCCAGACTGCCTGTCATGTGGAGGGCCAATGCGAAAGCTTGGGTCAAAAGGCAATTGCGCACAGAATGGCTGCACAAGGTGTTTGCACCCACCGTAAGAAAATATCTTTCTGACAACCAACTGCCTGAAAGGTGCCTTATTCTGATGGACAATGCCCCAGCACACCCTCCAGCCTTGGTGGATGATATGGACGCTGCGTATTACTTCATAAAGGTCAAGTTCCTCCTCCCCAACACAGCACCTCTTCTGCAGCCCATGGACCAGCAAGTTATATGCAACTTCAAGATGCTGTACACAAAGGCACTATTCACTAGGTGTTTTAATGTCACTGAAGAGACGTCCTTGAGTCTGAAAGAATTCTGGAAGAAACATTTCAATGTTCTCTACTGCATCAACCTCATTGACAAAGCCTGGGAAGATGTCACTCATCAAACCTTAAACTCAGCCTGGAGGAATGTCCGTGCCTTTGAAGGGTGTGATGCAGAGGTAGTGGAGGAGATTGTGTCCATGGGCAAGGGTATGGGTCTGTAACAAACTGAGTGTTGAATCTGATGAATGATAACGTGGTCTCTCATTTCCAGAGGGTTATGCAGCGTAGGAAAAGACAACTGACATTGATCAGATTTTTCACCAAAACTGGTCCTGCAGCTAAGAGACAAAGAAAAGAGGAAACCCCTAAAGTAGATCTCCCCAATGTCCTTATGGAGGGGGACTCTCCCTCTGCACAATAACCGCCTCCTACCCACCTTCCTGTCCTTCACACCAGAAGTCGTCACAAGCAAGGTTAGTGTTCTCTCTCTTCATACTGTACTGTATTTTATATTTTTGTGGTACAAAAAAAAAAGTTCAGAACGGATTAACTTTATTTACATTGAACCTTATGGGAAAATTTGATTCGGTTGGTGACCAAATTCGGTTTGCGACCATGTTCATAGGGGTCAGAACGGATTAACCTGATTTACATTGAACCCTATGGGAAAATTTGCCTCGGTTCACGACCAGAGTCGTGGAATGAATTATGTTCATGAACTGAAGTATATTGAAATATATTTTTTAAATATATTGAATACGGCCAAAATTGTAGTATTTCAAATATATGTCAATATATTTGGGAAGAATATTTTTCAAATATATTTAAAATATATTTTTCCTCCACATGGGAAATGTAGGTAAAAAAAATGCCCAAATTTTTATTTTTTTTACTAGGAGCCTACAAAGCATTGCACCAGCAAACAGCAGATCATGGGCGCAATGCAGGGCTCTTGCAGACCGTCAGTGTAAGTTGTCTGCCCGTACCTTGTATGGGCAGGCAGTTACACAATGACAGGAAGAAACAATGAACTTCCTAGAGTGCTCAACAGCGCCCTGATAGCTCATTGAGAACTACAAGCCAAGATCCGAAAAGTCTGTTGGTATTGGTAGTTCTTCCATTCACAGAACTCTGTGAATGAATGAAGCAACAGGGTGGGTGGAACGCTGCACAGCTGCATTTTTTTTAAACTGTGGCAGCAAGTGCGGGGAGAAGATCCCTGGCTTACTGTCACAGCAGGGGACCAGAGGGGGTGCAAGGACTGCTGCAACAGTAACGTGTTACAAATGGTGAACTTTAAGCTGCAATAAAAAATTTTGTTTATGGATTTAGCACCACTTTAATGGCCCTTTAATCTATTTTTCATTAAATAGTTTATTGTTTCTGTTTTTCTGCCTCCTTGAAACATTTCTCCTTTTCCCCCTCACTTCCGTTTCCCTGGAATGAGTAGTGCACATTAGTTGTGATCTTGTGTACTATGCAGTGCTTTGGAAAAAAAAAGTATTCATACCCCTTGAAATTTTCCACATTTTGTCATGTTACAACCAAAAACGTAAATGTATTTTATTGGGATTTTATGTGATAGACCAACACAAAGTGGCACATAATTGTGAAGTAGAAGAAAAATGATAAATGGTTTTCAAAAGTGTGTGCATTCATATTCAGCCCCCTTTACTCTGATACCCCTAACTAAAATCTAGTGGAACCAATTGCTTTCAGAAGTCACCTACCGTATTTTTTGCTCCAAAAATATGGGGGAAAATGTCAGTGCGTCTTATGGAGCGAATACTGACCAGTCCTCCACCTGTCACCGTCGCCGTGTTAGGGCCAGCGGCTGTCCCATCCCACTGCAGCCTGTCCCCTCTCACTGCAGGCTGTCACCGAAGTTCACCCTACCTTATCCCCTCTCTCAGCGGGCTGTCCCCGCAGCTCTTCGTAGCAGGCAGTCCCCTCGCCGAACCCAGCCAGTTTGCTCTGCAGTCGTGGCCTCTCTTCGGAGCTCCTCCCCGCTCCTGGCATGTCTTTGTACTGCGCTCCCTGCTCTGCAGTCTGATCTGGTCTGCAGGTGTGGCCTGTCCTTACAGCTCCTCCCTGCTCATGGCATGTGCCCATAGTGCGCTCCCTGCTCTGCAGTCCGGTCCTATCTGCTGGTGTGGCCTGTCCTCGGAGCTCAGTGCGCCCCTGCCTTCTGTAAGTAAAAAATGACAGATGCTGGGAGTTGTAGTCCTTTTCCTTGATGTATGGTGTCAGATCACTTGATATTCTGGGTGGAGGGGCCCTGTTGGGACTTTATATGATGTAGTATGTCCGCAGTCTCTGGTCATCTCCTGTACTGTGTCCGCAGTCTCTGGTCATCTCCTGTACTGTGTCCGCAGTCTCTGGTCATCTCCTGTACCATGTCCGCAGTCTCTGGTCATCTCCTGTACTATGTCCACAGTCTCTGGTCATCACCTGTACTGTGTCCGCAGTCTCTGGTCATCTCCTATACCGTGTCCGCAGTCTCTGGTCATCTCCTGTACCGTGTCCGCAGTCTCTGGTCATCTCCTGTACTGTGTCCGCAGTCTCTGGTCATCCCCTGTACTGTGTCCGCAGTCTCTGGTCATCTCCTGTACTGTCCGCAGTCTCTGGTCATCTCCTGTACTATGTCCGCAGTCTCTGGTCATCCCCTGTACTATGTTTGCAGTCTCTGGTCATCTCCTGTACTATGTCCGCAGTCTCTGGTCATCCCCTGTACTATGTCCGCAGTCTCTGGTCATCTCCTGTACTGTGTCCGCAATCTCTGGTCATTTCCTGTACTGTGTCCGCAGTCTCTGGTCATCTCCTGTACTATGTCCGCAGCCTCTGGTCATCTCCTGTACTATGTCCGCAGCCTCTGGTCATCTCCTGTACTAGGTCCGCAGTCTCTGGTCATCTCCTGTACTATGTCCACAGTCTCTGGTCATCTCCTGTACTGTGTCCGCAGTCTCTGGTCATCTCCTGTCCTATGTCCGCAGTCTCTGGTCATCTCCTGTACTGTGTCCGCAGTCTCTGGTCATCTCCTGTACTGTGTCCGCAGTCTCTGATCATCTCCTGTACTGTGTCCGCAGTCTCTGGTCATCTCCTGTACTGTGTCCGCAGTCTCTGGTCATCTCCTGTACTGTGTCCGCAGTCTCTGGTCATCTCCTATAGTGTGTCCGCAGTCTCTGGTCATCTCCTGTACTGTGTCCATAGTCTCTGGTCATCTGTACTATGTCCGCAGTCTCTGGTCATCTCCTGTACTGTGTCCGCAGTCTCTGGTCATCTCCTGTACTATGTCCACAGTCGCTGGTCATCTCCTGTACTACTGTACTATGTCTGCAGTCTCTGGTCATCTCCTGTACTATGTCTGCAGTCTCTGGTCATCTCCTGTACTATGTCTGCAGTCTCTGGTCATCTCCTGTACTATGTCTGCAGTCTCTGGTCATCTCCTGTACTATGTCTGCAGTCTCTGGTCATCTCCTGTACTATATCTGCAGTCTCTGGTCATCTCCTGTACTATGTCTGCAGTCTCTGGTCATCTCCTGTACTATATCTGCAGTCTCTGGTCATTTCCTATACTATGTCTGCAGTCCATTGGTTCAGAATATTTTTTTTCTAGTTTTTCTGAGGGTGGCTATGTTCACTAGATGGTACAATGGGACCATGGAGAATGAACGTAGCCATACTCTAACAGGAAGTCAGATTACAGGAGCAAAAAAAAAGAAATTTGGGGATTTGGAGGAGGCTGAGAGCAATAAAAGAAACTTTACGAGATAAGAATCCATATTTAAATATTTTTTTAAAACCTGAGTTTAATGTCACTTTAATGATTTCTATGGAGCCTCAGAACTAAACCTCCCTAACCTTTACAGCCAACAAAGCTGCCATCTTAGCCTCTGCTTGATGTACACTTGCCATGTGATCAGTTAGGACACCAGCCATTTGATGACTTTACAGTTTGGTTGAGAGCCCAAGCAACTGTGACAATTATCATGAAAGGACATGCCTTTAAACAGGTATATTGATGAGTTTAGTTCTGCTGTAAATAAATTTTCTACTTTTTTAATAATATCAGAGTTCGTTATTAAATGTGCCCTGTAGTTGGCTGTGGACTGATTTACAGACCCCCCGGGAAGAAAAAAAGTTCCATCATATAGATGCCAATAAATCTAACCCTACAGCAATTTATTCTGTGAATTATAATTTGGATCTCATATATAAATCTTATATAAAACTAGTCAACTATTTGATATCAAAGTTATTTTAAACGACATAATAAAAGCCAGCAGTTTGGAATGACGGAGTGACAGCAGCAGCACGCGGTGAGGATCAAGTGTCCTGGGAATTCCCGTAACAATTCTGAGAAGCTGTTTGTAGCTGGTTTATAGGCTGGTTTACAGCATGGCAGAACAGAGGCCTCTGCTCCCCTGGCGTTGTCCTTCTCTAATACCTGTGTTTGTGTTCAGGCATGCCGTCCACTTGTTAGGATACCGACTCAGCCCAAGATCTTTGGTGATGATGCTGCAAGGTTTGTCTTTAATCACAAGAGGGCTTGTTACATTTTAATCCTTTAATTCCCTGATCTATCTGTCAGGTCTGGGCAACCTACTGTTTTCCTGTAGCTCAGGGACCACTAGTCCCAGCATGCCTTGCCAGCATCTTAAAGTGTTACTAAACCCATGGCCCTGCTTTCACTCTATCTGGTCTCCCACAGTACACACAACATGGAAATGCAATTATTTTATTAAATATAAACTGCTAAATACCTTTTCTCATCAGCAGTATATATCATATATATATATATATATATTGTGACTTTTATCAGTGTCCAGCTGAGCACTGGTTAAAGCTTGTAGGAGGAGTTTTCATTTTCCCCTGATTGTCCGATGAGGCTGCATAACCCCTGACCCTCTGTCTGGACAGTACTGATTGGCCCTGTGCTGGTCACATGCTCTCTCCCAAGATAAAAAAAACTCACTAGCAATACACAGCAAATTGCGCATGTGCAGCTTGTCCCCAAGGCTCTGTGCTATTAGGAGATGGATTGGGGACAGTACAAGAAGGGGAAGATCAGAGAAGGCAGGATCAAACACCCTTTTTAGATAATGCAGAGGATTAACCCCTTAGGTTCCGCAGTGAGTATAACAAGCATGCTTTACTACATACAGTCAGGTCCATAAATATTGGGATGTCGACACAATTCTAACATTTTTGGGTCTATACACCACCACAATGGATTTGCAATGAAATGAACAAGATGTGGTTTAACTGCAGACTGACAGCTTTAATTTGAGGGTATTTACATCCAAATCAGGTGAACGATGTAGGAATTGCAACAGTTTGCATATGTGCCTCCCACTTGTTAAGGGACCAAAAGTAATGGGACAATTGGCTTCTCAGCTGTTCCATGGCCAGGTGTGTGTTATTCCCTCATTATCCCAATTACAATGAGCAGATAAAAGGTCCAGAGTTCATTTCAAGTGTGCTATTTGCATTTGGAATCTGTTGCTGTGAACTCTCAAGATGAGATCCAAAGAGCTGTCACTATCAGTGAAGCAAGCCATCATTAGGCTGAAAAAAACAAAACAAACCCATCAGAAAGATAGCAAAAACATTAGGCATGGCCAAAACAACTGTTTGGAACATTTTTAAAAAGAAGGAACGCACCGGTGAGCTCAGCAACACCAAAAGACCCGGAAGACCACGGAAAACAACTGTGGTGGATTACCGAAGAATTCTTTCCCTGGTGAAGAAAACACCCTTCACAACAGTTGGCCAGATCAAGAACACTCACCAGGAGGTAGGTGTATGTGTGCCAAAGTCAATAATCAAGAGAAGACTTCACCAGAGTGAATACAGAGGGTTCACCACAAGATGTAAACCATTGGTGAGCCTCAAAAACAGGAAGGCCAGATTAGAGTTTGCCAAACGACATCTAAAAAAGCCTTCACAGTTCTGGAACAACATCCTATGGACAGATGAGACCAAGATCAACTTGTACCAGAGTGATGGGAAAAGAAGAGTATGGAGAAGGAAAGGAACTGCTCATGATCCTAAGCATACCACCTCATCAGTGAAGCATGGTGGTGGTAGTGTCATGGCGTGGGCATGTATGGCCGCCAATGGAACTGGTTCTCTTGTATTTATTGATGATGTGACTGCTGACAAAAGCAGCAGGATGAATTGTGAAGTGTTTCGGGCAATATTATCTGCTCATATTCAGCCAAATGCTTCAGAACTCATTGGACGCCGCTTCACAGTGCAGATGGACAATGACCCAAAGCATACTGCAAAAGCAACCAAAGAGTTTTTTAAGGGAAAGAAGTGGAATGTTATGCAATAGCCAAGTCAATCACCTGACCTGAATCCGATTGAGCATGCATTTCACTTGCTGAAGACAAAACTGAAGGGAAAATGCCCCAAGAACAAGCAGGAACTGAAGACAGTTGCAGTAGAGGCCTGGAAGAGCATCACCAGGGATGAAACCCAGCGTCTGGTGATGTCTATGCGTTCCAGACTTCAGGCTGTAATTGACTGCAAAGGATTTGCAACCAAGTATTAAAAAGTGAAAGTTTGATTTATGATTATTATTCTGTCCCATTACTTTTGGTCCCTTAACAAGTGGGAGGCACATATGCAAACTGTTGTAATTCCTACACCGTTCACCTGATTTGGATGTAAATACCCTCAAATTAAAGCTGACAGTCTGCAGTTAAAGCACATCTTGTTCATTTCATTTCAAATCCATTGTGGTGGTGTATAGAGCCAAAAATGTTAGAATTGTGTCGATGTCCCAATATTTATGGACCTGACTGTATACAGACTGATTTTACTGTTGTGGGTTTAGTAACATTTTTAAGTGTTGAGTGTTCATGTCGGAACCTCAACTGTCATTATTTTATTGGTTTAAGACCTCAAAATGCATTTTTTCTAAATACAGTCCAAGCAAACTCGAGGGCTTAAACACACTGTATGATCACAGACACCATTCAGGCTTCTTATAGCATATGATGCACATCTGAACTTTACACCCTGATAACAAAATAAATATTAAAGCAGAACTAATGAGAAAGCTTGGGTTTTTTTTTTTTTTTTGAAAGAGTAATGGAGGATTAAAATCTGTTTTGTTTTTTTTTGTCGCCATCTGTGTCTAGGTAGGTGCAGTTTGCTTTCTCCACTGCAGGTGGTGTCCATACCTAGTGGCATCGTAGCTTAGAAAGGAAGTCCAAGAGAAACAACGTTTCTCTATGGATTTCTGGGTGAATGGAGCAGTGTTCTGGTTGGCTACGCTGCACCCATGTGACCCTCGGTGGCCATCTTGGGTCACTAGTGTCTATTTAAGTCCCTGCCTCTGTGTTTTGGTGTGCTTTGAGCATGTGGCTAGTGTTGGGAGGGAGACCCTGCTTGTTAGGAAAAGTAACTAGCAGTAGGAAAAGGTTCCTGATGAGGAGGAAAATATTAGGGACTCACTATACTGGAAAGGAGCTTCCATCTTGGGAGCAGATCGGCCAGGCTGTGCTTCGCTCTCTGAAACA